TAAACAAGTGTTAAAATAATTTATCTTTCACGAGTTTTGTATGCATGTCTGTGTATGTAGTTCTTTGTATAACGCTCTAGACTTAATTCTCTTTTCTAAATATAATTAAGTTGTGTTAACATTCATATATAAAATAAATTAAATAATTTTTTGTTATAAAATTATTTAAAGCAACTTCGACTGAGTCTTCATTGGTACCCTATATATATATATATATATATATATATATATATATATATATAGTTATTAAGAAATATCACCGCATTTTCCGGATTGTTATTAATTATTCAATGCTATCGATATTATTCACTTCATTCAAATTAATGATAAAATTTCTAATTATTTTAGACTGCATTTTTCACACAGACATTTACATGAAAGCTTTTTTTGGTGACCTTCACCATCATCAGCGCAATAGAGTTTGTGACATTGTTATATGTACAAATATGAACATCGGCGAGCTAATAGAAAACAAAAGCAACAGCGGTAGTCAATAGGATGAAGATCGTTACGTCACAATGACGTCATCGTTCGATACGACCACGACGACAAATTTGACGGAAAACCTGCCACCAGTTCATCAGCATCATGTTCGTCGTCGTCATCATCATCACTGTCGACAGTGCCACAAAAAGATTCACCATCTTTGTCGTCGTATGAAAGTGCATCATTCAAAAGAAGTTTTTACTCGACCACTTTGTAATTTGTTATATGAAATAAGTTATTTAATTCACGATCAAAGTTTTATTATTTTGTCAAATAAAATATAGTTAATCATAATTAGAATAATAATAATAATATTATTATTAACAATACATAATGGATGAGTCGTTTCTCGTTTGATTTTGATTATTAAACTTTAGAACATCTTAAATTCTAATTCTGATTTTGATTATTAAACTTTAGAACATCTTAAATTCTAATACTCAACACACGTATCCTAAGTCGCCATTTAAAGTCATCTACCATTGTCTTATATACATGAACAATTTTAGAGTTATTTAACGTTTAGCTGAGCGAGTTCACAGAACAGAAAGAATTTCCCTAAGAATGATGAAGAGCCGACAGAATAACATGATGATGACAATTTTGCCGAAAAAAGCTTTTCTGTTGTATTCTGTTAAATTAAACTATTTCAATTTTACTAGTTTTTATTCTGTATATTTCAATAATGTATCTTTATTTTAATATTTTATTTTTAAATTAATGGCAATAAAATGAATATTATAAGACATTTTGTGATTTTAATTAATAAACTAAATAATAAATTGCTATATATTAATAGAAAGGTTACAATTTAAATTAATAAATAATACTTTAGCGGTAGAATTTAATGAAAATCTTATATAAATTGCATGAAAACATGTCTCGGGCGAAAGCTCTAGTTATCCTTTTCAATTGACACTAAAACAAAATCAGAGGTAGACGATGGCGCTTACAAATGACTCACCGAGTGTACAGCCACTTTCACATGATATCCATACATAACATAAGCATTTCTACGAGAGCTACCTAATTGTCAGTATAGATGTTAATATATTAATGAAATGTAGTAACTCATGTAATCGTTCAAAGTGAGCCATTTACAGGAATCACATAAACCACTCCATTAAAGAAACAAATCAATTTGTTGCGTTTCATTTTAATTTTTTTTACCGGCATAATATAATACAACAACTGCAATAACATTGAATTACACTAAATTACATTACATTACACTAAATTGCATTACACTAAATTACATTACACTACACTATACCGCATTACATTACATTAACAATGTTAACTACAGTTCGAAAAATCATTACATTACAGTACATTACAGTGCATTACATAGGTAACTATGATTTACGATGTGAAAAACTCGGGGACCCTAAAAAGTAAAAGCCAGTCCACCGCACAATCGACCGAACTCTCCTTTATATAGTTAGAAACTTCTCTTTTGTACCACCCGTCGCCGCAATGATTCGAAGCTACAAAATAAACAAACGAATGCCGAATTAGACAGCCTACTTCAGCTGCAATGCCATGAATTGATTAAAAATCCAACCAATGACAGTTTGTGGTGTCAAAATTTCATTGGTGAAATTATTACAGATTATTTTTTTATTTGATATGTTATTTACTATTAAAAGCAGATAATTGAATAATTTAATAAAAAATAAACTTATTAAAAAATTATTAGTTAAAAAACTATTCGTAAGGTACTCTAGCGATTTCGAAAGAACTTTTTGTAAATACTCAAATAGCGATTGAACTAATTTTCTTCGCTGTAATAGCCATAAGTGCTATCTGAATTTATTAATATAATTATTATTAATGAGAATTCCTTGCGAGATTATTTATAAAATCGAAATATACTTATCAGCAAAAGTGGTCAAATGATAATGTTAATGATTGGTATAAAAACAGTAGCAATTGTTATAAAGTAGAAACATCTCTGGCAGAATTGACTAATATGTTTTTCAAATAAAAGATAAGGGTCCAGTGTAACACCGGGCCTGTTATGACCAGATTAAAGTATTTAAATTAAAATAAAATAACAAATTGTATTTGTAAAAACAATTTCCAGTTTTGAAAACTAGAAAATGTTTTATTCACAGTTTTTTGGAAACGTAAATTTGAACAGCTGTGCCGCTTTTATGCATTTTGCTTTCAATGAATTTCATTGATACTCAGAAAAGGGCAGAGGGAGAAAGGTACCGCTCGTGGCATCTACAAAAGGGGCTTCCCTCCCCAGGGAGGATGATATTTTTTCTAGAATACTTGTCATAAAAGGGATTGTTTAAAAATTGTATGCAGTAGGCAAAATTGAAATCGCCAAAATTTATAAATAAATATTCGACAATTAGGGCTTTCACCAAATTTCACCGGCCTTTTTCTTTTATTGCCTCAGGGCCTCTGTCCACACCTAAAATTCGGCCCTGTGAATATCTCATACAACAGTTTGGGTACGATATTATTAAGGATGGCATACAATGATCGTTGAACTACCTATAATAATAATTTTTGCTTCGTCTGAAATTTGTTTACTGCGGGATATTATTATTAATAGTTTGAAATAAATTTGACATCATCTATCTCGATCAATATTAATTATTCAGAACACAAACAGCTTTTCATCGTCCTCATCATCATTACGTTTTAGATGATCAATGCATTGATTGAACATTTTTTTTATTTATACACTGTTTTTAGAATAACCAAAATCATTCTAAAAGAAAGTTTCAATTGGTTTGAGGGCAAATATTTGTTTCAAGTTCATAATGATATTCAGTCAAAAAACATGCATTTTATCCAATCTTTTTTGTTAAACTGCGCGTTCAATGTGCTTCACTACTTTACGGTTCATGCGGGTTCTCAACTCAATTACTTTCATCATACATCAATTTATTTATTAAATTTAGAAACAAACAACAAATTTATTTTTATATTCGTAGTAGTATTTTATGCAAAAATTATCTCAAAATAATATTCAGTTAAATGTATACATTCTTTCCCGTCTTCAAATAGAGATTACGTTAGAGTTCTAGTATGACAAAGTGTTTTGTCGTCAGTCGTGATTGACGGAGTATTAGTGTCACTTTTATTTGCTTCTGCAACACTTTAGCCTTTTTTCTTGACTTCAGTGAATTATTGTCAAATAAATTCTTTTTTCCCCTGGTCTTTTATTCACGAACCTCGCTTACGAGCTTCAAATTCTGTCTTCACTGGTGTATCAGTTGAAATTTGAGTCTTTTATTTCCTTAAAGTTTTTGCACTTGACTTTCGGGGTCCAGCTTTTTGAACGAACTGATTATCTCCGGTGTGACGTTGCATTTCTGCTGGTCACTACATCAAGGTGATAACAATCACATAGCTGAACTGTGAAACAAATAAAGATGAAAAAAATAAGAACGATTTGTAATAGTACAAACATTATACTTTGTCCGTCACTAATTCTACAGCGATAATTGAAGTTGCAGCTAGTTCAGACGAAATGGCAAAATTGGTGCTTGAAGTGGACGTATCCAGTCAGTCAGTAGTATATATGATGGCGCATATTCATCATCCTGGAAAATATTACGGTGGAAGAGATATGCACCGACACCCTGAATTTTGAGCATATAAAAATAAAGTAAATATTTACAAATTAAGTTAAAATGTGTGCTTTAATCATTCTTTATTTGCACAATTTTTTAATTATCTAATTTTGAGCTAAACTTTAAATTACCTAAAAAAAAAAGAACGCGTCCGCAAGGTTAAAATTGCATAAAAACGGACTTAAGTAAATAGGATCTTCATTAAAAACATGATTATTGATTACTAATTTTTAATTTGTTACGAGGAATTTTCCGAATGTTCCGGCAGTTGATGGTGGTGATGATGATGATTTACACTTTCAAATTTTCAAATTATAATTTAGTTGTTTAATTATTTTTTTCTAATTTTCAGTTTTTTAGCCCATATGCTTATCTAGGAATTATTATCTATTAAATTATTAAATAAAATTAAAATATTAAATAAAATTAAATTATTTTTTTATTATTAAAAATTAAATTAATTAAAATTTTTTAAATTTAGTTAGTATATTAAAAAAGGATTTAGTAATAAATAAATAAAAATTAACTAATTAATTATAATTAGCAAAGTTAAATTATGATCTAAGATTTGTTAGTTGGATCAATAATTAGGTCAATAATTGACCGTCAATTAGGACATTATTAGTAATTTTAATTGCAAACTATTAAATAAATGATATAATTATTCATTATAATATTCAAATAATGTAATAAACAGTTGGAACAATAACTTAGTTCAAACTAACTGGTAACTCAACAGCGGCCATCCAATAACGGCCAACGAAAACGACACTAAAGAAGAATCATTCTGTATTTAACTTGTCCTAACTTTTTGTTCTGCGAAATATATTCGTTTGACACTGTAGGTAGTAGTAAATTAAATTAAATTTAATTACAAATAAAAGAACTAGCACAAACAAACACAGGACAAAGTTAAAGATGATTTGCTCAATGAAATGTTTCTTTATTCTTTTCTGTGCTTTCCTATTGGTTAGGATGACAAAATTTTTTTTTAATTTTTTAAATTTAACTTTTTAATTAAAATAATTATTATTAAAATACAATAAAACGAAAACAGCAATGAATTATTACTAATCTATTTTAAATATTTATTTTTTAAAATTAGTTATAAAAGTAATTCAAGATTGAGTTGTTAAATTAAAAAAAACTTTATGATTATACAATATTATTTATAACGTGTAACAATATTAATACTTTAATATTTAAACTTTTCGTTGCCTATGTTTTTGTATCTATGCAGGTATTGACAGTCGAGCGACAAATATTTGATGTTCTGGGGTCTCTATGGTTGTCGGTTATAGCAAACTCGTTGCATATTTTATTCACTGTCATTGGTATCATTGGTGCCCTCAAGTACCATAGAAAAATTTTGATATTTGTTAGATTTTTTTTATCATCTTTATTTCTTTTCCATAATTATTAGTGTTGGTTGTTGGTGTATTTTATTTTCGTAAGTTGATTTGGTCAACCATTCATTCATTCATTCATTTATTCATTCACTCATTCTTCCAACCTACTCATTAATTCATCCATCTAATTATCCAATTGTTTTATTAATTTGTATTTATCCATTCATTCATTCATTTGTCTATTAATTCAGTCATTCAACGAATCATTTGATCAATCACTCAATCCATCATCAGTTCAATCACTTAATTTATAGCTCATTCATTCATTCAATCATTCATTCATTCAATCATTTATTCATTCATTCACTCATTCATTCATTTATTCAATCCAGAAATAAAATCATCTCCCACATGTTTTATATAAAAATTTGTATTATTGCATCTATTATCCATTGTTATAAATAAATTATCTGTGGTGGTTGTATTGGCATCATCATTACCACAAGTTATTCTTCTTATTATTATTATTATTAATTATACTTACATTACAATCTTTAATTTTTATATAATTTTTATTAATAATTATTATATAAATATGATTAATTATTATGATTATAAAGTTCACCCTATGGTGCCTCGTCTGGATAAGTTGGAACGTCGTCGTCATTTGCTTCTATCACAATGCCGGTCTACTGCATAGAGTGAGTTATTATTGTTATTATTTATTATTATTATTATT